TGTGTGTGTGTTGTTTGAGTTATATTGCATGGTTGGATTCTAAAGCCATCAAAAGAATCATTTTGTGATTTACTGCTACAATTAATAATTGTCCCAGTAAATGCCCAAACCCTACAGAACTGGTGCCTTCAGAGAGCACACTACACATGCAATAAACTCATCTGTTTAACTTCATCTCAGGATCCAGAACTTATTCTTTCTGTTACAACACTAGTAGGAAAAAGCAAACTGTTGGCACATAATTAACTGAAATTATATTTTAAAATTACTAATTGTAATGCATTTTGTGTACTAACTTTTCTTAGTAAAACAGTGATTAGGACAATAATGAAGTAGCTCCGTAAATACAGCCGGTGTTCTTCTTGAATTAACTTAGAAATTAATCATATCTGTCTGGGATTTATACTCTTCTACTGATGTTTTTTCAGGGCATGGGAGCACACACTACTGTCAGAAGATTGAGATTGATTTACAGTGCTGACTTTGACCAGGGCCATAGCAATGGTCTCACTGCCATTCACTGCAGCACCAATTGAAAACACAAGTAACAGGTAATATGGAATGTATGGCAGCTTCAAATACACATTTTTTGTTTATAATGATATTTGATATCTTATACTGTATATGGGATTGACATAATCATACTAATGTCTGGATTGATACCATGCAACTGAAGTACAACTGGGTCAGAAGAATGAATAAATTAATTAATGCTTATTGTCAACAGCAACACCCAATAACACACAGCACACAATAATTTGAAGAAACAAAAAAATGCAACGCAATACATGGTTAGACTTAATAAATGAGATCTGGAATATCAGCAATATTTTCCTTGAGTTTTTGTTTAATAAATATTGACAAAGTTAAATTTGTGATTATTATTTGTCACAACAGGTTAGAAGTATTTATTGTTAGGACTTGGTGAGGATTATGTGAAGGTTAGTTATGTCTACATACTGTATGTAAAACTGCAGAATTTTAAGAGGGTGTACTTTCTTTTTCATATCACTGTACACTCTAATTTGGTTTCATTGTATAGTGCAGAATCTGTTTTAAAAGAAAAATGTTACTACTCTGGTTATAAGGAAATAGTACAATGTTATTGTTATACTGGTGTTATTTGTTCTTGCTTCTGGAATAAAAATTAAAATTAATACTTCAATATTAATTGATTACACAAATGTGTGTATTTCACAAGAAACCAGTGCATGGGGTAATTGGTGCAAAAATAAAATTGGTGCAAGAAAAAGTACATGGGCTTTTTAAGATAATCCAAAATAAAAATAACACCCACTCAAAAAAACTACTACAATCTTGAACTACAAGATATTGCTTTAAATAGCTTCATTTTTAACTATTTTTTGCACATGTATTGATACTATTACTAAAGATCAGATTTTCTTTGATCTTTGTCAACTATGTAAAACTTGTTTTACTGAATATATAATGTACAAATAAGCTTATTTTATAGCCTAATTTCCATATAAAATTGTAAAATTAAAAACTTTTGTACAGCCTTTTCCAAACAAATACAAATATATGTTAATATTAATTTACAATAATTAATTCACCTGACACTTATATAGTAAACACCACTCAAAGTGCTTTGCAGGTTGTTACTGCATATTTGAGCTTCATATGTGTGCAATAGAAGTGTGCTTTATTTTGTGTCTGTGTAGAAAACAGTGTCAGAAACCTGTGGACAAAATTAGATTAAGATTTTTTTGTTACTGTAAGGTAAATCAGGACAAGTTGAGGTTTATAAACGGATGATCACAACTGATAGTCTGGAAGTTTGTGTATCTCATTCCATATCAGGTCCGAGACTCTGAGATTTATATCATTCTCACTTTGCTTCTTATTTTTAACTTCAGTTGTATTTCTTGCATACTTCAGTACATATCACTTTGAAATAAAAACTGCTGAATTAACAAAAAACGTTATATTTTAATGCAATATTATATTTTGTAGCAGTGATTTTTTTATTTGTACTCTGTTCTTGTCACTATTTATGAATACAAATTATGAATAACTACTTTTTCAAATGTATACATGATTTGTTCACTGTTAAAAACTTTCAAACTCTTAAATTACAAGTAGTTTATAATTTAACGTTTTAAATTCTAACACTAACTCAAACTCAATGGCTAAAATATTATGTTGCCCATGAAACAGATATTAATCAATGACATTTGTATTTAATTTAATTTAATAAAAATTAATAAAAGTTAAATTAGTTCATGTTTGATGGGATGTCGAGTATTAAAAAATCCATAAATGGCTATTACATTTTTATTAATTGATTTTTTTTAAGAAACGAAGGTTAAAATAATGAACAATTTTCAAAATAATTGAAACCATCTACAAAGCCTAATAGGTAGATAAGTGTGAAATATTCATTCCTCTATTGATATGTAGCAGTATATGAATGAAGAAATGTAAAGAATGATGAATAATGTGCAAATGAGTATAATAAGGCACAGTTGTGAAAGTTAACATTGGCTGTTTTACTAAACTCTCCACACATTGACTATCTTTGTAAGGCTATACTGTATGTAGTGTGCGTCAAATTTTGGAAGAGTTTAAATCAGATGTTATGATTAAAAGATTGGCTCATGATAGTATCGAACATAACACCATAATAAAGTTCACACCAGGCAATATGATTTTGGCTTCCAAACAACTTAGTGGCTTCCCCTAAGCATCCCATACCCGAGCTGTCCTCGCTTGTTTAACAGAATATAAATTGAAGCCTCATGTCACTTGTTCTACTGTACATTGGTTACAGCTGTGTGTGACTGTATTGCAGAATACTGTAGTTAAAACTGAAAATTTTCACCTATGAAAAATACAAAAGAAAACAGCCCTGCTCATGTATGCTCATGTACTGTATGTGGAAGGTTTATACTGTACATGTCACTGCAAGTTTTACTAGCAGATGCTGCAAACTGTAGTGGCCATAGAAGTTCCAATCCATGATTAAGTAATTGAAGAAGAAATAAGTACAACCTTTTCCGAACATACACACATATTTTTGACAAAATATGGGAATTGTGATACATTCTTCCTTTGTAGTATTGATCATTATTATCCACAAATTTACTTTAATTTATTTAATTTGAAGACAGTATTACATTTTTATGGTATTAATTACTTAACTTATTATGTCATACTCTATTTACATTGACAATAATAAATTATATTAATATTATTATAATAATTCCTTATATACTGCTTTTCTGGACACTCCACTCCACTTTACAGGTAAAGTGCACCAAAATGCTCACCACACATCAGCTATCAGTGGGGAGGAGAACAGAGTGATGAAGCCAGTTCATAGATGGGGATTATATGGAGGCCATGATTGGTTAAGGCAAGGGAAATTAGTCCAGGACGGATGGAGATATTTTGTGGAAAGCCAAGCATGCTGTCCCTATTCTGGGGGGGGACAGTAGGCATTCTGTGGCTCTCTGTAATCACCAGACTCCAGATCTTATGCAGTCCTGTCAACAGTGGAGATGCCTACAGAGTCTGAATATAACCTAAGGAGTGGGGGTTTGAAGGGCATTGACCTGTCGATGAGTCAGAATGTTTTGGGAGACCTCAGCCCAGGAAAGCAGGGATATCCAGTCGTCTTGAAATTCCATCACTTGGCATCACAAGCATGTCTCTAAATCCTGGTTTATGTGCTTGTCTGGCCATTTGTCTTGGGTTGGTATCCTGAAAAGAGGTCAATTTGGATTCCTAATTCCTGACAGAAGGCCGACCAGAACCCGATGACAAATTGAGAGCCTCTGTCAGCGACAATAGAGGTTGGAAATCCATGAAGCCTTAACACTTGTTTGGTGAAGGTGTCCGTCATCTGAGGCACAGACTGCAACCGCAGGAGCAGAATGAAATGCACAGTTTTGGAAACAGAATCAAACACTGTCAGGATCACTAAATGACCATGTGAGTGGGGAAGACCAATGATGAAATAGACTGAGTAGTGTTGTCATGGATGGTCACCAATCAAGTGGCAAAAACGGTATTAAGTAGCGTGGATTAATTGGATGATTGAGTGGACTGATTGGAAGATTGATAGGGACTGGGGTGTACAGACAGACGACCTGAACGTGTTTGAATGTTACTGCTCGTGAGAATGTTGCTTTGTCGAGGAGACTGTGAACTGCCAATTCAAATAAATAAAAATATATTATATTGTAAATAACTTGTACCTAATATCTTCACAGGGTATTTTGATTGATGCATGCTAATCTCATTTTTTTCATTGTCAATTACTGAGAAGTGGGCAGGCTGCCTGTTTCTCAGTTTCTGGATTACATCACCACAGTATGCAAATTAACACCCCAGTGAAATACTACATCACAAGGTGCCTCTACCCTACTGTTAATCTACAAGAATTTTCCATAGTGAGTTTTCAGTTCAAACCAATACTTCAGAAAAACTGGAAATGTTTGGACTTTACTTTCATGTTGTATGTCTCTTCAGTAAGTACAAGCGCTTCTCTTTCCATTACATATTTAATCATTAAATACTTATATACTGTATAGCTTATACACTGCAATAATAAGCATTCAGCTGGGATATTTAATGCAGGTGTCTTTAGGGCATGCAATTCCTGTGATTATTATTTTGTGCTATGTTTACTTTCTTACTACTGTAAATGTAAAGGAATTGTTCTATAATATGCACAGCAGATAGTAACACCGTCAACAAGGATATACTGTATATAACTTTAACAGGCACAGTTGTGTAAATTAAATTATTTATAAATGGCATATATACGTATTTATCATTGACACATAATTGCATACATTACAAAAATAGAACTGTTTTTCTTTACATACCACTACTAATAAAAAACAATTTAATTATATAGTAACATTTGAAAGATCTTTGTATTACCAGTAGCATAAAAAATAAAAGCACAATGCCTTTATTGCTACCTTCATGTTAAAACTTTAATGATATAGAAAGTCAGAATGAACCATTCTGCTCAAATACTAATTCAAGCATTTTTGTACATTTATGTTTTTGTTTGTAAATACCTTAGTACAAACCTTTTAACTGCACATAATGTATTTTTCCATGGTACTCTTTATAGAAATGTTCCTAACAATTACATATGGTAGAGTTTGTATTTTAATTGGTATTTGTTGTTTATTTTTGGAAAACAAAAAAGCTAATTTCAATTGTTTACATACAGTATATAACACTAAGGACTAATTATTCATACTGTATTTAAAATAAAGTATTTGCATTTGTAATTCATTTATTACACTGGTATTCCTTGGGTACATTTTGAATGCATAATAGAACAGAAAACTCATTTTGTCAAATGGTCTGAGACAATTTAATTTATAAACCTTCATATTTATAATAAAATAAATATGAAGGTTGTATGCCAAACTTTGGCAAACGGTAACAAAATATTTACAAATCTATGTTTTCACACTAAAGTTAGGATATTCAGTATATTACAAATATTTGACTACAACCGCATATACAGTATGCTATTCTGTTTTTCAATCAATAATTCTAAAAAAGGTAAATTAACAAAACATTCATTTAGTCTTTTGTGCACTATGACCTATAATAAAATTCATGCTGTCTTGATGATTTTCTAGGTGTGATCTCGGCACATACAGTTTCTCAGTCTCATCCTTCAGTGCTGGTGCAGCTCGGAGACTCTGTAACTCTGAAGTGCACTATCGAACAAGAACAGCTGAGTCAACTGCTCTGGTACAAACAAGTTGTTGGACAGGCTCCAAGGGCCATTTTATCATCGTCAGGTTATGATTCTTCATTAACATTATATAAAGGATTTAGAGATTCACGTTTTGTCATGCAGAAGAATGGAACTTGTTTTAATCTCCACATTTCAAAAGTTAAGTTTTCAGATACTGCTACATATTACTGTGGAACAATAGATTTCACAGAGCTGCAGTTGGGAAATGGAACCTTACTGTTTGTTAAAGGTAAGGAAAGAGATGCTTTTCTTAATGTCGCAATAAAAGAAAATATTATCATAGTCTCATTTTAAAATATAACTTCAATAATATTAAGATTCTTACAAAATGAGATATTAGGTTAATTTTTGACAGTCAACAAAGGTTTCAAATAATAAAATAAAATATTTCCTCCTGTTAACTAATGTAACAGATCTAAAATAATCTGGACATACAGTATGTAGAATTTCACAAGAGATAAATTTAAGTGTCTTTTGCAAAAATGTCTGCTTAGGCTTTTATCTTGTTACACAGTGCCCTTGAAAAATATTGAGACAGCACAGTCATAACTGATGCTACAGAGTTAAACAATTTACAGTAGATTCATTATCATGAGATACATTGTGAGATAAATATGGATGATATATCCAATATAAAATGTTTAATTTTTTGATTAATTCCATGTATAGGTGTAATTATATTTAGAACAAAATCATTGTTTGTGTTCTCCCAGTGATTTTAGGTGCACCTAAGTACTGGGATGCATTTACTTTCATTTTTAGAGTGTAAAAAATAGTATTTGGTTGCACAGTTTTAAGGCAATAACTGTATGTGGTCTGCAATCCATGGAGACCCTACTGTCAACGGAGAAAGGCAAGAGAGCTAAAAGACCCTATGCATAGCGGCGGGGTTTGCCCGGGCTCAGCTGTTCAGGGAATGCCGTATAGAAACCTATGCCCTCAAGTAGCGGATGTGGGGCTACCTGGTGCTACGCGGGTCTCAGGACATCCAAAGGCAGACTGAAAGACCCGGAAATATATACAGATGCAGCCATTCAAAATGGGTGGGGTATTTCGCGGCATACCCCGGTGGGCGTGTTGCGGTATCACGCAGTATCACTGGGTTAATCGCGTCATTTGACGTCATGCCGGAAAGTATCTGGCATCACCTTGTAAAACCGCCAGGAGGAACCAATAAAGCTTGACCTCTCATGTACAGCATTTGAGCTTTAAAATTTAAACTGTGTATTACAGCATATTAATCATCAGTCATTAAAAAGTTGGTATATTTTATGAAAGCAAGATTGCTCATTTGGACAAAAGTACACAACTTATCTTTATCAGAAATATTTATGCATCAAAGCCTTTACCGAAGATATTACTAATAGAATTAATAATGAATGACTTTGGACAAGCTGTAAACTCAAAGTATAATTTATTTAGCACATTTGTACAAGCACTTGGAATCTGTCCAAGCCCTACTTTGTCAGGCATTTTCTTTTACTGCAACGGACATAAAAACTCCCTTGCTTTTAACAGAGCGTTTCATAATTTCTAACTATGAAAATTATTTAAACTGCGACACTTATCATTCAACCAAAGCTCAAAATATCACAAGGATCCTCAAGAGCACAGCAAAGACTGTATTAAAAGATACTTGTATCAGATACATGAGAATCCAGGCTTTTTTATCAACCCTTTCTTTTCCGTATACAAGATATTATGGAACCACTTCAGAAGGGTGTCTGCCAGTCAGATTCCAGGAATCGGTACTTTAAAGAAAAAATACACACCTGTATTCCATTTCTCCCTAAACATTTTAAGCATCAAAGTCTTTAACTAACATGTGAAATAGCGTGTAAAAAAGTGGTAGTTTTAAGCTTTTCTGCTAATATAATATGGAATCCCGTATCTAAAGAAATTAATAACGATATGATTATATTCGTGTACTGCAACATTTCTTTGAAAAAATAGAATCACAATATTATGGACAATTAATTGACTTTTATATTTCTAAATATCACAACATGATCAAATTTAAGTCATTTTAATAACAATGAATACTCACCTGAAATGGTCAGATTATGAGTGAATAAAAGCATTTTATTAAAAAACGTAATAAAAATTATTTTTTTAATCGCGTATCTAAGGAAATAGCAGTATAACTTTGTTCATGCACAAACTGTGGCAAGTTACATTATTAATTTGGGTGTCTCCTCTTGCCAGAAAGCTCTAAATTGCATTTTGAGTGCGGTTTTTGACTTTTTTTAAATTGCAACTCATAAATAAAGCTGATACTGTTTAGACTTTTAATTATTTTTAACTGTATTACAGCAGCACAATGCACAATGCAACGTAAATCGCTATCTTTTTCTTCTGCGTAATAATGTTCACCTCTCTGTCCAGCAAATTATCAATAATAATATGGCGCCTTTAAAGGTGGCTCCTCAAAGTGCTTTACAGGATAAAAACAATAACAACAATAGTGTTAGGCTGGGCAAATGATTTTTTTATAGAAATACAAAATGAGATATAATGATGTGTTCCGGCTTAGACAATAACGAGTACAACCCCCCTCTCTGCGGGAGTGCTGGCTGTGACGAATTAAACCGGTTTCACAGGTATTTTCAAAGTAGAAGGGGGAAGATTTCCAGCGAAAGACACCTCCCCCCTTCCAAAGGAGTAAAGTACTTACTAGTTAAGAAACCTAGGCTCCTCAATGAAATTGCTTTAACATGCTAATGCGTTGTTGTAACAGTCCGGGTGTGGCAAGCTTCTAATGTCAACCCGACATTTACGGCGAAAGGAACCCTTCTTTCACTGGAAAACAATGAACATATTCTAGCCCTAAATGACTTAATAGCAAATATGGTTTACATAAAAGACATTTTTCCAAGAAAGTTTAGCCTTTGTCACTAATGAAACCACTAAAAAAGACATAAATAAAGAAATCTTAAGATTTTTAAAATACATGACTTTGCTAAAATTTATTTAAAAATAAAAACGATTACAAACCCCAGCGGAGAGAGAGAACAGGGGAAGGATTTTGGTTTTGCATAAGGGGCGGGGCTATGGAAATGAGGTCTATTTGGGAATGTGGAGTTACATGTTCTGTCTGTTTGTGAATTATCGTTTTTGAGTATGGAGTGGTATTGATTTTGTGTAATGCTTTATGTTGAAAATTGAGCTGGATTTTGTTTATGATAAAGAGGATAAACTGGGAGGGGAGGAGGGTTTGGTTTTGCATAAGGGGTGGGATTATGATAATTGGAGCAATTTGAGAGAGTTTTTGGTTTGTATTATGAATAATTAGTACAAGATATTAAGATTTGTTGTTGTTTTGTTGAGATTTAACTCCGCAAGTCTGAGTTCTTGTGTCCGTCCTATCCGAGCCCGAAAGTATTACAATATGTATCTTTATAGCAGTTGGTGTACTGCTTTTTAGTATAGATTACACTTTTCTAAAATGTATTTAAAAATTAAAAATGATTACAATCTTATCTTTCCACGTTTGATCCCAAGATCCCAAGAAAAATAAATCTAAACGGGGAGAAAGCTATGCTGAAATTTTATTAAGATACTTAGAAGACAACGATATCAATTTATGTTGCATTTGTCTGATTGTGAATAAAAAAAACACATATATTTAAACCAGTGTTTGCAATTTAAATCAAAACGCGATTTAAATCAATATAAATGTTTATATTGTAACACATAGGTGACTATTCATTGTTTTTAAAATGACTTAAATTCGATCATGTTGTGATATTTAGAAATATAAATTTGTTTGGTGCGAGTGAGGTTTTATTTAATCTCTGACCCAGGGAAAATGTTTTATTTTTTCAAAGAAATGTTTGTTAAAAAAAAAAGTAATGGCTCCTGTGGGATTCAAACACAGAGCGTGTGATGTCGGAGTCAGGAACCTAACCCACAGCGCCACCGGCAAGGTCACATGCAGAGTGCTGAAAAAGCACTACAGAAATATTATCAACAGACAATGTACTGCGTGTACTATTCTTGTGTTACGGTACATGAATATAATTATATCGTTATTAATTTCTTTAGATATGCGATTCCATATTATATTCCCTTTTAATGAAATTCTAAAAGTATGCTTATTGATTCCGGTATCACGTTAGTTAAAGACTTCGAAGCTTAAAATGTTTAGGGAGAAATGGAATGCTGGTGTGTATTTTTTATTTAAAGTACCGAGACCAGCCATATACTGTATGTTTATGTTCCAAAATTAATATCGTTTATGACCTTCACACGCGTTACAGTATGCTCACAATGCGCGACGCCGTAGCCAATTACCTCCAGTAAGTGTCTGTACCGCGCACTTTGAATGGCTGCATCTGTACTTGTTTTGAGTATCTAATGTAGAAGTTATAACCTAGTTCATTTACAAAACGGTCTAAATAAATGATATACCGAACGTATGTCCTCTTGATATGTGTAACTCTTTGTAACTGAATGAATATATATCTTTTGTATTCTGATAACCCTCACGATAAGATCTATTAGGTTTACATGCATATTCTATGTATTAATATATGTATCCTCATGTATTAGTACCTGTGTGTGCGTTGTTTGAGTTATACTGCAAGGTTGGATTCTAAAGCCATTAAAAGAATCATTTTGTGACTTACTGCTACAATAAATAATTGTCCCAGTAAATGCCCAAACCACTACAGAACTGGTGCCTCGTGAGAGCACACTACACTGTCATGCTCCATAGTGAAGTGCCACTGATTAGTATGGAAGCATTTACTGTCTACTGTAAACTGACAATACCTTATTTTTAAACTTCAGAAGTATTTTTACTGATGCCATGAGCTATGATTAGTTAGTGATGATTAGTTAGTTATATCATCAATAAAGACCAGATCCAGATTTATCCATCTTGAGAGGCAAGAGGTTTAAAACTTCTGAGTTGTAATTCTGTTAACTATTCCATGAGCTACGATTTTAAGATCTTTAGCCCTGCACTCTAGAGATTGCTGGTAATTTCAACAATAGCTGTTTCAGTTGTTTTGCATTTTCACTGTAATTTTTGAGTCATTGACTTTTACTGTACTTCTCTGATTGGAAACTCTATTTCTGATTTGTTTCACTGGGTTCCACATATGCCCAGTTTATGTGTTATGGTTTATTTTAACAATATAAGAAACTACCATATAGTAGTTTGATCCAAGAATTGATTGTGCCATTTCTTTAAATGAGCCAGGAATTGGAAACGTTTGGCGCTATTCTTCCAGATTAAACATTACTTTATTTTCTTTAACATATTTTTGTTTTCATGTTTTGGAATTTACACTCAGATGGCAAAGCCAAAAAAGTTCTTACGATATTCACTGCTTTATAATAACACCAATTACCCAGCAATCACCCTGACCAAAATGAGAACCCTGTCAGCCAATTGTCTCATACTAAAATGCCATCAAAATAAAGTAGTAAAGCACAGTTTGTATAATTGACCCAGGAGGGTAGAATGGAATTGCCTTTATTAAAAATAAAATATTTAGCAGTTATCTTTTTTTCATATGAGAAATAATTTTTAATTACAGTTCATATATTTTATTACAGTTGAGAAAATTCAAAGTTTAGAGTCAATAATTGTCTCACTTTTTAAGGGCACTGTTCTTATACTGGAATCAGAAAAAATGCATATAGATATTTTCTCATAAGTAACTCTTAAAAGTAGATTGATATGGCTTTATTTTGTATTTATTAAAATATCCTAAGAACTGAAAATAAACAAAAAATAATCTGTGGCAATGACACTTGACTGATCTGTTTAATTGTGATGTAATACAGTATGTTCATCCCATAAGCTCTGAATTGTTTTATAATTCAGTATTGAATCTACAGAACTACTGATTTGTTTCTTCCCTGTTGTAGATGCTGAAACCAGTTACAGATCTTTCCACCCCCCTCTGTCTAAATCACTCCAGTCAAAAGACAATATTGATCAGCAGTGTGTGATTTACAGACAGACTCAAACAGGAAACCAGAATGTTTCTTGTTGTGAGCATCTATTTGGACAAGCTGACTCCAGAAATACTTTTATACAAGGGAATGTGTTTCAGAAGAGCTTCGAGGCTGGACTTCCTAGTCAGAGCTCTGTCTATACTCTTCCCAAGAGGAACCTCAGATGCTCAGATGCTGAGACGTACTACAGTACTGTGGCCACATGTGAGGAGATAATTTCTGCAAAAGAAATACAACTTGATAACAAAGGTGATTTATAAAAATGAATAAACAGTGATTTTTTAAAGATGATTATATCACTAAACAAAACAAATAAAGCAAATACAATTATAGTTTACTAATTTGTACAGCATACCTTCATATCAGTGGTTCTCAAACTTTTTGTACCAAGTACCACCCCTGATCATACCAAAGCATCCAAGTAGCACCTCCAAGTCATCTTCTCATAGGAACCAAAGAAAATCTAAATGACCAACATGAGTAACAGACTCTCACACACTTACACACATAATATAAAAATAGTACTGAGCACTTAGATAATTTGGATCGTACTGCCTTGTAGCCGTTTTCTGACGCTTGGTAACACTAGCAGTGCTGAGTGTGTCAGTTTCAGCAGCAGAGCTAGTGTCGGTGTCTGATGTATAATCCTCCTCGTTCCCAACAGGTGCCCGTGATCTATTTTAGCTGGCGTCACTACTCATGGCATCTATTCCTTTCAGCCATGACATAATACTTGATTTTTGTGAAGTATACATTTTTAATCAATTGTTCTGTTGGTGAATGTGGCACTATTGGAGAAATGTTTCCCCATTTCGCCTTAAAAGACAATCAGGAGTCCATTAAATTGTAAAATATATTTTTTTTATTTAATGCGCATGGGAGCAAAACACACAGAGATGCTAGGTGTATTTTTCTCAAAGTAATTAACCTAGAACAATCCTTAAATATTTTTAGAAATCTATCATGCTTTCCTGTGTTTACAAGATTGGCAGTGTTGCAAAATCACGCACATCCTCCTACCTCCCTATTTGCTAAAGATAACTTATTTTAATACAATTGGTCACTTAGGTTCGTAGTACGTTCTATACAACGGTAAAGAATTACATAGTAGCCCTTGTGTCTACTCAAGTATTAGCGCACATCGACATAGCTGAGCTGTGTATTTGACACACAAACTATTTTTATTAAAAAAGAAAATATGAAAACCTATCTCAAGCTGTCTGAAACTGATTAAGTAAATTACAGATGTAACAATTACATAATATTTCATTATTCAAATTTTAAAACCCAATTTTTCAGTGCACACAACACATTTCCAGGGTAATTTGGCAAACCACCTGGGGGTGCTGTGCGTACCACAGTTTGAGAACCACTGCTTTATATAACAGTTTATACACAACTTTACAAATTATTTATAAATCTTCAGTTGTACCCACTGGTGTTTCTGTCATAAAATTAAAAAAATTAGAGCAGCTCCCCCAATTTAACATATACTGTAGCTACCCATCTGTAAGACTTGTAGAAATAATGGTTGGGTGGGCATTGTTGTCATTCTTATTTAAATTAGCCTGCCTTTAAACTTCATGGATAGTATAGCCACTCCTGTAAACCAGAAAGTTTCCTGTGAAGTCCCTACCCCTAGGTAAAAAACTGAGGAACTATCTGAGCAGGAGTGTTCTCAAGCCCAGTGCTTTCACTAGGATCCAGGGTTAGGATCAAATCGAATACAAAAAACACCTGTTTAAGGATAGAGTCACATGAAAATATATCTGCATTCATACTGCTAAAAAAGACACTGCAGCATATCTTTCCACTATCATCAATGTTTACATTTCCATCAGCATATTTTGACTCCTATACAGTGTATGAACTAATTATTAATTACATTTTTTTATTTTAATCAGTGTACCACAGCTACAATTCTAGGCAGTTCCCAGTGGTCATTGCTTTGGGAGTTCTGAATGGTGTTCTTATAATTATGATCACTGTCCTGACCTACAGACAGTTCCAGTCAGCCAAGTGTGGGAGTTTTGTGGGTAAGCTACATTTATTTCTACCAGAACTACAATTGTTCAGAACACACCATCATATTTTTCTGTGATTTATCCAAAACATATATAAACTAAAAATAAACAGAATGAAAGTTATAGACAACAGTAGTATTATGAAATCAGTTCTGATTCCATTGCTACACATTTCTGTGATCTGTCCTCACTCCTGTACAGAGAGTGACTCTGAAGATGTGGCCCATTCCTCTTCCCAGCATCAAGACACAGACAGCACCCACCACCAGGTATGTCTAATGATCTACTCAAAAATACACCTTTGCCAGTACTTTTAACATCTGTCCATTCATCCAAATATTTAAAACCGATCCATGTGTTACATAACACATTATTTGTTACATTATTAAGTATCAGTTACTTATTATTTTATTAAAAAAGCTTATCAGCACTTTCTTAAATATGTTTTATTTTTCATTATTTCAGTATTCATTATACTGAATAGAAAATGTGTGAGCAATTGTAAGCAGTGCATAAAATAACATAGAAACCTGCTTCCATCAAAGTAGAAAACATGTTGATGGCTCAAGAGCAAACCCAGACAAATCAAATTTGAGTTATACAATGGCTTCCAGACAGGTATTAAGAAAGAACATTTAGGATTTTTAGAAATCATGGAATGTATAAATATTAATTGTATAGGTAGGCAGATTGATTGTAATACTGTAATAAATGTCACTCCAAAATATTACTGTGAGGATATTCTCATATTAGGATAATCTCATATTATTGTAAGGATGTTTTTTGTCTGTTTAAATTAATTTCATCCATGACCTTCACCAACTGCTCAATATGTGGCTTTTAGTTGTTGTACAAAACTATTGAACTCTGTTTTTCAGAATGAGGAAAGTTCATTGACGTATGCTACATTGGAAGTCAAGCACACTGTGAATGGGCATAGGCCAAAGAGAAGAGATGTGAACATGGACACAGTGTACAGTGAAATTGAGTACCGTGAAATTATGATCCACAAGTGCTAATGAAAATATGATTTAAGGAAAAAACGAATAACCAATGTGACATATTATAGCAGGTGTACATTATAAGACATGCATTACTTCTTTACAGCTAACATACTGTACTAGTACTCAACACATGGGCAGCATATGTACAGTGCTGAGAAAAAAGTCTGTAAACCCCTAAGGTTCCTGTTCTTGTATATATTAGACCTAAAATGTAATAACATCTTTATGAAAGTTTTAATAAAAGATTAAAATAATTCAATTATAAATATGACACCAAGGCGCAACTCATTATATAATTTAAAAAAGTGTCCCAACAGTAAAAGCCTTAGATGTACTGTGGTAGCAATGACAACTTTACCCATCCATCTTAGATGGATCCATAGCAGCTTTGAAAATGTATATATTTTAATGCATTTTATCTTGAATTACATGTTTTTTAAAGTTTCAAAGTTTTACATGTGCAAGTGATCTCCAATAAATCCAACCATTAAGTTTGTTTTCACAGCAGTGAAACTTGTAACAAAGAGTTCTTTCAGGACCCTATGCAGACGACACAATCCGGGGAAGAGTGAAGAAAACACGGGGAAAAAAGCATGCAATAGTCCGAAATAAAACATTGGGTGTGTCCATGGTGCGCAGGTGTGCTGGGGGTGAGTCCTGGGCAAATGATCCAAAGCAGAATCCAAAGGGAAATCCAAGGTGAGTCAAATGTTCAAAGACAAACAGAATTAAAAACCGGAACAAAATCCGGTGGAGGCCCGGGGGGAACAAGGGGGGAACGGGACCAGGTGCTCCAGATCCCGGACTCCCTTGGTACGGGAACCAATGCAGAGCCCAGAACAGAGTGAGTGTCTGGCTTTTAGGGTGAAGTGAAAAGGGGGCTGGAACAGGGAGCAGGTGCAAGAGATGAGTAAAAAACAAGGAAGGGCTGGAGCATCCTTAAGAGGAGGGGGTTATGAGCGCGACAAAACTATTTTCTAATAAACCAACAAATTCAGAAAATAGCATGACTGCAATAATACACGTACACAGCACAACATGTAAATTTAAAGGTTTTCCTAGCAAAATCAGATATTACTTGTAAAGTTCTATCACTCTTCCATTGACATTTATCAATTTTGTCCCATTCTTCCTTTCAGAACTGCTTCGGTTTTGTGTCATTTGTATGAACATATCTTTTCAGGTCTTGCTGTAACATTTTCAAGGGGTTTAGGTCTGGACATTAACTTAGCCAATTCAAAATATGAAATTTGTAGATTCTGTGTTTAGATCATTGTCTTGCTTCAAGACCCATTTTTGACTGTATCAGCTGATGGATGGATAGGCTAACATTCTCTAACAGAATTTCCAGATATAATGCCAAATTCATGGTTCCTACAATGTTGGCAAGCCATTCATGCAATATAGCCACAAACCATGATACTCTTACCAACATTCTTATGTTGTTTCATTTGAAGGTACTGTTTGACTTTCATCACACAAAAATTATTTTTCATTTTTGCCAAAATGTTCAGCTTTTCATTCATCAGTCCATTCCTCATCAGGAATTCTTTAGATAATCTTGTGGATTGGCCAGTACTCCTTGGTGATAGAGGACAATATTCTATTTAGAAAGAATTGGTTTCTTCCTCCCATGAAAACCATTCCCTCACTTCAAGATGACATTTCATCTTTTCAAGATGGTTGAGATATGAACACTGCCATTCACATTTCCCTATATATGTTTTATCAAAATATATACTGATGGAAAAAAGAAATGCAACACTCATTGTTGGCCTGAAATTTCAACCTTCATTGTTGAAATAATAAAAACAGAATAATAGGAAAACAAAACAGTACAACAACAAAAACAACAGGAAAAAAATAAGAACTGTAAACATTAACAACAGTCGTCTTGCAATCCTTCAATATCTTGTGTGACCACCTCTTGCAGCCACCCCTGCTTGACACCTCTGGTGCATAGGGACAATAAGTGTCTGAATCTGCAGTTGTGGGATATTATCCCATTCCTGCAGAAGGGCCTGACATAGTTGCTGGCCATTGGCAAGTAGAGGGTCATGTCTCCAGATGGTGCAATCCAGCGCATCCCAAAGGTGCTCTATGGGGTTAAGGTCAGGAGAGAAGGCAGACCAAGACATCACCTGCACACCAGCATTCCTTAGGGCAGTTGTGGCCACAGCAGCTGTGTGTGGCCAGGCATTTTCCTACTGTAGAGTCAGGTCATGATGCCTCACATAGGAAATTATGATTTGTTGCTCAATCCCATCCCTATAACACACACCGTTCAGCCTGCCCTCAATGAAGTGGAGCTGTGTCCAGCCTGTATGGTGAATGCCAGCCACACCATTACTTTGCTTCCACCCCAGGGGTCAGTTTCCTGGACACAGGCAAGAGCATACCTCTCTCCTCTCCTCCTCCACAATCTGGCTCTCCCGTCTGTGTGGAACAGGCTGAAGAGTGATTCATCCATGAAGAGGACCTGATGCCACTGCTGATGAGAGGGCCTCTGACAGGTTGCCTTGCTCTAAGGCCAGCAGCATGGAGCCTGTCCCACACTTTCCTGACACTGATGCAGGCATTGTGTCTGCTGGCAGTTTCAGCCAGGATATTTAAAACTGTTGACAATTTCATTTTCATGCTGATGGTGACTGATGGTTGTGGAGATGGTGGATGCTTTCTGTAAACACTGATCACGTCTTTGGTTTTACACAAATCAACAAAATAATCCACTACAGGGCCATAATCAGTGTCTGCATTTTAGAGTTTACACCTACAAACTTAATGATGTGTCTGTCCTAAACAGGGATGCTACAGCTGTCTGTATACAGAATATATATAATGGAGTAGAGTATACAACCTGGAGGAGACTCAAGAAGAATAAAGCAGCTCTGGTATAAGGCTCATCAAATCAAATCAAATCAAAGTTTATTTATCAAATGCACAACAATACAGCATGCTGCGGTAGTTGCTGGGAATGAAATGTCTGTTCTTCGAGCTCACAAAAATCACAAGAATCACAGAAATAGTAAAAATCCCCAAAACACAAAAATCACAAAATTGAGGTAATGAAAATAAGGTTACATAATAAAAGATGTAATAGAAATTGAATAAAACTCAATATGAGTAGAGCTGCTATGTGTCCATGGTGTATGCAATATATACAAGTAGTGCGGTTATGCTGAATATAGTGAAAACTGCGCGTCCATGTAGCCATTACAGGTGATTTGCTCAAGGAGCTGCAGGTTGGCTATTTAGCAGTCTTATTGCCTGGAGGTAGAAGCTGTTCTGCAGTCTGTTGGACTTGGACCGAATGCTTTGGTACTGTTCACCGGACGGTAGGAGGGAAAACAGTTTGTGACTGGGATGACTGGGGTCCTTGAGAATGGACCTGGCCTTCTTCAGACATCTAGCTGAGTAGATATCCTGGATGTTTGGTAGCTCACAGCCGGTAATGAGCTGTGCTGACTTCACCACCCTCTGCAGTACTTTGCAATCCCGGGCGGAGCAGTTCCCATACCAGGCAGTGATGCAACCAGTCAGGATGCTCTCAATAGTACACCTGTAGAAGTTGACCTGGATATGTGATGGCATGCCAAACCTCTGTCTACGGAGAAAGAATAGGCGCTGCCTTGCTATTTTGACCACGGTGTTGATGTGGTGGGTCCAGGTTAAGTCCTCTGAGATGTTAACTCCCAGGAACTTAAAATTGCTGACTCTCTCCACTGCAGTCCCACTGATGTAGAAAGGTCTGTGATCTCCTCCCTTGTGTTTTCTATAGTCCACAATCATCTCCTTTGTCTTACTGATGTTCAGAGAGAGGTTGTTCTCCTGGCACCATGCTGCCAGGGTTTCAACCTCGTCCCTGTACGCAGACTCTTCACCGTCTGTGATCAGGCCGATGACTGTTGTATCGTCCACAAACTTAATGATGGAGTTTGAGTTATGCCTGGTGACACAATCATGAGTAAATAAGGAGTAGAGGACAGGGCTAAGCACACAGCCTTGGGGGGCTCCAGTGTTTAGAGTCAGGGTAGAGGATATGTTGGTGCCCACCCTCACCACCTGCGGATGTTCTGTCAATAAGTCCAGGATCCAGTTACAGAGGGAGGTGTTCAGTCCCTGGCCCTGGAGCTCGATGACAAGCTTTGAGGGCACTATGGCATTGTATGCTGAGCTGTAATCAATAAACAGCATTCTCACATATGTTCCTTTCTTATCCAGGTGTGAGAGGGCAGTATGGAGGGCAGAGACAATAGCATCTTCTGTTGACCTGTTCTGGCAATACACAAATTGCAGTAGTTCTAGGGTGTCAGGCAGTGAGGAGGTGATGTACTGTATGCTTTGACCAACCGCTCAAAGCACTTCATGATAACTGATGTGAGTGCAACAGGGCGGTAGTCATTTAGGCAGCTGACTCTGGGTTTCTTAGGAACGGGAACAATGGTGGTTTTCTTAAAGCACGAAGGAACTGTAGACTGAGCTAGAGAGAGATTGAATATGTCCGAGAAGACATCTGCGAGTTGGTCTGCACGTGCCTTCAGAACGCGGCCATGGATGGCATCAGGGCCAGGAGCCTTGCGTGGATTGGTCTTTTTAAAAACTTTACATACATCCGCTCTGGATATGATCAGTGGGTTTCCATCTTGGATTTCTGGGATCTTCCTGACTGGATCTGCGTTACTGACCTCAAACCGAGCATAGAATTAATTTAGCTCATCAGGAAGAGAGGCAGACTGTTGTGCGACATAGCTGGGTTGCGTTTTGTAGACTGTAATGGTGCATATACCACTCCACATGGTCCATGTGTTTACAGCCGTGATAATATGACTCTAATTTTACTCTGTAGTTGTATTCCTGAGGTCGTATCTGGATTTTTTTAATTTATCCAGATCGCCAGAATTTAAAGCAGCTGTCCTGGCTCTTAGTTTGGCGCGTATCTCGCCATTTACCCACGGTTTCTGATTTGGATATGTGCGAACAGTAATCCTGGGAACAACGTTTTCAATGCATTTACTGATGTAGCCAGTAACATAGTCCGTATACAGATTGATATTATTTTGGTCAGCTTCACAGAAGATCTGCCAGTCAGTGGTAGCAAAACAATGATTTAGTATAAAATCTGATTCATCCGACCAACACTGAATGGTTCTTAACGCTGGCCTCTCCTGTTTAAGCTTCTGCTTGTAAACGGGAAGTAGCAGATTGGAGGCGTGATCGCATTTGCCGAAAGGAAGTTGGGGGAGGGCTTTGTAACAATCCCGGAAGGGAGTGTAAACATTGTCCAACCTATTTGTTCCGCACGTCAGGCAGTCGATGTGTTGATGTAGATTTGGCATTGTTCTCTTCATGTTCGCACTGTTGAAATCACCCGCTATGATGAATGCCCCCTCAGGATGTGTATTCTCTTGTCTGTTAAGGTGAGAGTGTAGTTCATCCAGTGCCTTTGTAAAATTTGCCTGCTGCGCAATATACACCACTGTGAGAACTACC